AGGCGACACTAAAAACCGCAAGACTCCGTACCTTTTGCGCAGGCGCGAAATTGACTCCTGTCAAGAATGTCTATGAGAATCGTCTTGCTGCCCTTTTTCATATTTTTAAATCGTTCTAACCTCTAACTACATTTTTAACCGTCAATTCAATTCATGGTTAATCGTGTATGCTGATTTATTTCATTCGTTTTTGGATTTCCTTCATCTGCAGAATTGTGCACATGCAACAGTGTTTAATCTATGCATTAAACAAAGACTCATAATCATTGTTTAAAAAGCGAATTTATTCTGCTTTCTTAAAACAATTACTTATTTTTGTGTTTAGTTTATAAGTGGTGCTGGTGTAAATAGTGTCGAACAATTTAATGTATTTGTTTATATTATTAGGCAGACGTTTTTACGTTATATCTGTTATATTATATTAATCATTTTCAAAATCAGAAAAATATAAATAACAAAGAAGTACATCAAGACCGTGAAACGCAATTGAAGATACCAATGGAAACGTTTCGCAATGCAATGAATAAACTGGATGATGATGCCTTTCAAGGAGCACTCAAGGAATTTGGAAAGCATACAGAAAAAGTTCAAAAACAAAGTAGAAATTTAAGAAAACGTAAAATGACTAAACAGGAGTATTTTCTCTCTAAGAAAAAATAAAGTACATATGTAATCTAATCCCAAACATGAGTTTTTCTAAACATTAAATGAGAAACCTTGATTAAAAGTTTTTTTATTTTTCTAGATGATAAAGTTAACGCAGAAAGCAGTACATTAGGATTCAAATGTACAAAACCATATTGTATGTACTCTTCAGAAAGACTTAATCTAATCGAAACAGTTGTACTTTGTATTTTAATAAAAACCTTCGAAAAAGTNTGTCGTTTTCTAGTTTTTCAATTTCAATATACTTTGAATAATAATCGATTACAAGCAAGTATTTTCTCCCTTTATATTCCATCAGGTCACAGCCTAACTTGTTCCAAGGTAGTTCTGGAACGTGGTGATTAGTTAGAGATTCTGGTTGTTGTGACCTTGAGTATCGAAGACAAATTTTGCAACCTAAGATTTTATTTTTAACGTCTTTAGTCAAAGTGAGTCAGAATAACGATTCCTTTGCTAGAGACAAACATTTTTGAAAACTCATGTGATTGTAATGAATTTTTTCGAGCATTTCCGGTTGTAAACTTTTTGGGACAACTATTGCTCGCCCTTAAAAGATAGTACCGTCTACTACGGTTAACTCACTTCTATACTGAATATATTTTTTTAACACGTTATTTAAATTTCTATTATCGTTTGGCCAACCTTCCAAAATTACTTGTTTCAATTTCTGTAATTCTGGATCATTTTTNTGGAGTTGATACTGTTGCAGTATACAATAATAGCGAGCCTGGTGTTAGACTAATTTTATTTCGATATTTACAGAGTATTTATACAAAATCTATTTACATGGATTAAATGGCAAAGAACATTTCAGCATATTATATTTGTGTGTGTATTTGCCGTTGACCTAGTTAGTCGCAGTGTGTCGCGACCTAACTAAGTCAGCACAAATGTAGAGTCTTAATTGATACACAACAATAAATGTTTTCTTGCTATACCGAGTGTTCCCACACTAGAATAAAATGAAAGTAAACACTTGCAGTTGCTATATGTAGTAAGCTTACTGTTTATTTTTACTAATAACTATGATAAATGACTGACCATCAACACCTACGTACAATCAACAAGGAACGCTACCTCAAATAGTAATATTTAAAAAAAACATTATGTTAACCAGCAGTCTTTTATCTCCATAATTTCACATTAAATCACATCTTAAATCTCAATTCTACTAAGTTTCTACTTATTTAATCAACGTTTAAAATTTAGTAGAAGTAAATTAAAAAATTATCAAAAAATATTATCTTTTTCCTCAGACGTTGAATTATTATTTTAAGATCAAGTAAATAAATTTTAGATTAACAAAAATTCCAATATTTTTCAATTCTGATACATTATATACTTCTCCTTTGGAATTAACTTTCTTTGGTATGTTGATCTTTTGTTCTATGTCTTGGGTTTAAATTTAAATCATTTCTATCAGGTTATTTCCAAATTTTTAGAGATTTTTACATCGACTTTATGAAAACACCCTCTTCGTTGAGAGACTCCATCTGCCGTATAAATTGTTATTTTTCAAATATTAGGAAGTCTCTAATCCTTTTTCTATCTCACAGTCACTTATTTTATCATGTCATCAGTAATATTTGGTATGCTGATGATATAACTCGATATTATTGAATGATAAACCTACCTTGAGAAAACCTTTTCATTCCTTTCATGCTTATTAAAAAGTTTCCGTCTTGTACATAGAAAATGTATTAATCCCAAATATTTTAAAAATTGTTTGGAAACTCCTATAAAGTTTGAAATTTCTCCAAATCAACCCTTTTAGAATTAGTAAGAAAGCGGGTTATTATTAGCTGGTTATTACTAAAGATCATTACCCTTTGATAGCTTCTATTTATTGCATACATATGTTACTGTTGTACAGAACCAATGAAATAATAAACAATTACCAAAATAGTCAAGTCTCTTTTTATTAGATCTTAATTTTTGGTTTAATAGAATGATCATGTTGTAACAAAATAAAATTGACAAGTGTTAAGAAAATATTGCAAGATAAACAAACTCATACAATAAGCTCTGATAAAGAGGAAATATATTTACAATTTTACTGTTTTCGTTAGTAATAAACAATATTAGAATATGTTAAACATAAAATTCTTCTATTTAACATTCAGCAAACGCAGATGAATCTGGTTGACTTTATGAACTAGTTTTCCAAATATTTTTAAGTTCATACGCAACCACCTCCATTTGAGTTACGGCTCCTTCAGATAAAGCATACACAGCAGGAGTTGAACTTGGGTAAATTCTACTGCTAAATGTTGTTCCACCGTCGTCTAAAAATATTTCAATAGAAGATTTATCCAAGAATATTCTTATCTTTAAAGTTTCAAAATTATCTCGGTTTACAACATCTATCACTGTTTTTCGTGGATCATTATCACCGCGATCCAGTATAAATTTATTATCAGATTTATCTAGGTAGGCTAAAACATTCGAACAATTGCCTATATCTATTTGTATTCCAACACGAGCGACAGTACTTTTAAATGTCGCCTTAATAAGTATTTCATCACTACGAGCGTCAAGCAGTTTTGATACTCCTTCTACATTTATGGTAGAACGTAATAAGGTGGATGTTCGAAGACTCCTCAATTCATCAACTGGATTTTGAAGTATTTTTCCTGATGGTGATAGAGTCAGTGCCCTAGGTATAGTTAGGGCTCCTACCCAACCATCCTCCTGCTCTAAATAAGCGCTTTCCCACATGTCCATCCAAGCAATCATTATTCGTTGACCATCAGGCGCTTCCATTGTTTGAGCCGCATAGAAATCATGACCATGATCCATCTCAATGAAAACGTTATTGTGCGAAAAGTTATTTGTTTGATAGTTGTAGGAACCAACAAAATAGCCAGTTTGATATAAATTTTTGTAATCATCACCATTCGCTTTAATTCCTTGAGGAGACATTAACAGTATATATCGCCCTTTGAGTTCAAAAAAGTCGGGACATTCCCACATGTATCCAAAGTTGCCTGTTGACTCTGCTAAAACTCCGACGTAATTCCAAGTATGTAGGTTGTAAGAAGAATAAATAAGTGCTCTTCCTTGCTGTGTTAAATTATTTTGATTTCCTAAAATAACATACCACATATCCTTATATTGCCATATACTTGGATCACGGAAAGCATTTCCTCCGTCTATAGGAGGAAATGCAATAACAGGATTGTTGGTATATTTTATAAAACGTTCACCATCTGAACTAAAAGCTAACTCTTGACTTTGAGATGAGAAGTAAGTTCCATTAGACTGATTTGCGTTTCCTGTGTACATAAGTACAAGACTGTTTTTGAACACTATGCCACTACCGGAGAAAACACCGCCATTATCATAGAGCTTATCCGGAGAAAGAGCGATTGGCAAATGTTTCCAATGAACCAAATCTTCACTTTTAACGTGGCCCCAATGTATGTTCCCAGGAGTAGCGTTGTCAGGATTATGTTGGTAAAATAGATGGTATTCACCATGGTAATAAGAGAATCCATTAGGATCGTTGATCCAACCTGCTGGAGCCATTATATGATAATTTAACCTGTACCTCTCATTTGTGACAGAAATGCAATTAACAGCCCTCAGGTAATGAAAAATAATTGTTAATAAAATTATTAAAAGAAGATCTTTCTCTTTTAGTAATGACATTTTATAGGAACACGGAGGCACATTAATAACAATGGATAAATAATTGATTTTCGGGTTTATATTTGATTGATTTATCGGTGTCATCTTTTAAATTTATCTTTTTTATAAGTAACCATTTCCGACTGCATGATAAATACAGCGAGACGTACTTATTTAGATTAATTAATTGATAAGTGTAGTTTAGTATACCCTTTTGTTGTATACTAATTTAAATAGTAAGATAAAAACCTACATAATGACATCTTTTAGGTAAATAGAATGGCAATACTGTTATAAAGTAACGTGTTGTGAAAATTTTGCATGTTGGAAAACTAATATAAGTTGCTCTAACAAAGAGGCAATATATATTGGCAATTTCCCTATTTTCGTAATTAATAAATATTGGAACATAGTTTTTGGGTTTATGTGTCCACAATAAAAAGGAGCCCACCAATGCATACAGTAATGAAAGTAGAACGGAACATGAAATACAAAATTGAAAAATGTATACAGAAGAGAAAAAGTGAAATAATACTACACAAAAAATATAAGCAAGTAAAAATACACAAAAAGAATAGATAACAAACATAATAAAGAAACACAAATAGATATAACAGTAATGCAGAATTCAGAACTTACTAATAGCAAAAGACGGGATGAGATCGACTGTTTGACTAATTTTATGTTTTTTTGGGCCATTTCCTAGAGTGGAAACCTTCAAAAGGCACCTCGCAATTGATTCTATATGCGAGGTAGTGTAGGATTTTTACTAACTAAAACTCCTCGTTCTTCAAGTTCCAGTCCTTGGACTTCTCCTGAAACAGATACTTTCGTGCGTGTTGAGAAAAGAAGTTATAATTTGGAACCATTGTTTGTCTGTACTAGGGACAAATGTGCTATATGGTTCTGGACATCTGGAACATAATAATAGTGTTACGCATACAATATGTATATGCGTGTCAATATAATAAATGGTATACGCGACTAGTTAACGTATATATATAAATTCAATGTAGAAATCTTCCCGAAGTGAGTTTGTTTTAATATGAAATATTCTCAATTTTGTTGCTGTTGACACACCCCCGCCGGGAATCGAACCCGGGCTCTTTGGCTTTACGCGCCAATGCTCTGACTACTAAGCTACGAGAGATGACAACAGCAACAACGACAAACCGTACTTATTAGGTCACAGATCC